CCGGCATACTTTTCTGAAAACTCATCAGTTATGTGATGTGATGTCACACCGGTGATATTTGCATATGAAACAAAGTTGAATATTTTGAAAAGGGAGCAAATTACCAAAATTCTATAAAAGAAATTATTAAGTCATTTTAAGTGATCTTTACAATGCAACCATAAACATTTGGGGTGAAATTTCGTGCCATAGGCACTTTAAGCAAATAGCAAAATATAAATTTAGCTATAAGCAAAATTTACCGAAATTCAGACGTCATTTATTCTTTCCATTTATACCATCTAAAATCTCTTCACTTTAAAATTTCGCATGAGAATTAAACGTGTTAATTAAAAAATTAAAATTTTTGAATAGTTATAAAAGTGGTATATTTTATATATTATTATACTCGGCATATATATACTCGTTAGTTTTGAGCGTGTGTCGCGCAAAAAATCCCTAAACGGCTGGATATATTGTTGGTTGACTGACCACAAAAATTATCATGCTTGTTTCTTTCGTTGAAAGAAGAATGTGGATTCCACGACCACTTTTCTATGAGCTCATGCGCAGTCAAAATCTAAATCGCATGGTAATCCACGATTCGCCTGATGAGTGATTTGTTGTACATGCAAAATCTTGTTTGAAGTGCGATTCTTGGCAACAACAATGCTGAATCACTCAGGTATCACCTTGGCTAGCCTTTCACAGACCTAGAACTCGATACAATATACAATATATCCTAAAAGAAGCTATTAGGATCGACACAATGGTAGTATATACAGTATCTGTTCTATCCAAAATGTTTTAGGTATATAAGCCATATCCGTTTTCCACATATAACACGTTGTATGTTTACACCAATTTTACCATAAAGGGGGTAATATTTTTCGACAAACATTCTCAGCAAGCTTACTGAGATTGATAGCTGAGAGGGAGAGTGGCCTCTTTCTATCAGCAGTTAATACTGATAGATTGACTGCTGATGTAGGGAGAGCTCTGCCTTAGGGGATGTTTGACGACGGAAAATATTTCACAGAAGTTCTGCATGGGTACATAAAAGTTTTATAACTTCCTTTCTAATGACTCGATAATAAGATAATCCCCTATAGATTTCCTTGTTCTTGTGGTGTGACACAGTCTTTTCTGACATGTTCGTCTTCACTTTGATACCTGCAGACGTGTCATAAATATATATCAAAACATTCGTAATGTACTTGATAAAAGGCGGGGCTGTGTGCCATCAACCCACTTAATAGGATTTAAAATGCCAGTGCTTAAAAAATGATATAAATTTCAAATATTCTAAATAATCATAGTTTCAAGTTTGATAATAAAGTTCCAATAGCCTTCCCTTGCCCACACTGTTCTTTGGTTTAGCCATGCAAACGTGTATTATTTAAGAAATAGAAGACATTTTCCGTCTTTCTATACGCGTATATAAGGAAAGAAACACGCGTGGGAATTTGGAAGAACGAAAAATAATCAGTAGGAAAACGAGGTTCCTATATTGGGCGAGTTCATCCACATTATTTTGAGTTCTCCCAAACTACCACGCGTGTTTCTATAACTGTATAGAATCACATGAGAAAATGTTTTCTATATGTTTTATAACATGACATAAGAAAAGTTTTTTATATAGCCATTTACTATATCGATTAATTTATAAATTCTCATTACTTCAGCATAAAATCCATTCGAGCGCGTTTGTCTTGTGGTTTCTTAATTTGGTTGTCAAAAATAATATTACCACACATTTTTTATCTATTTCAGTACAAGCTTGTGTTAAAATTGTTTTGTTCGCGTTGTAAAATCAAAGCTGCGAGATAGGAAATTTCCTGTGTTTTCTACAACAAACAAAACACGCTTCTCGACCAATCACCGCTTGCTTACGCCTTCTCTTTAAGCGGACAGCTGTCATAAGATTCACGGGCACACCAAAGGAAAATCCCAAATAGCATTATAACCTCCCGTATGCGAGCAGTTTACATTGTATTTCCGTTGAATTGAAACGCTCTTTAAAATTTATCAGATGCTTCGTTGAAATAGTTTGGATATATTAAGAATGAAGAACATCTGTTCGGTAGAGATTATAAATTAGTAAATGATGAAGGAAGGCCAAAATTGTTTTGTTACTCTGATGATAGATATTTAGTCTACAATTAGGATATAGCATTACAATGATAAATTATTATAGTGATGAAATATTAATAATTTTGCATAAACGGACACTTTTTGTAAGAAGACACCATGACTCCATGTTACAAGAGGTTCTGCTGTATATTGTAGTATATAAACATATAAAATGTTGAGGATATCAATGTTTCTTCCCCCGATGCCTGAAACTCGCGAACACGGACCTAATTTTCCACACATGACGTATATCGACGATAGATGAGAAAAAATTAAAAATTTTAATTTAGCTTGACGAAAGGAAGGATACTTTCCGAGAAAACATCGATGGAATTGTTCTGGGGTTGAAGACACCAAATATTATTTATTTGTCAAAGCGTTTGATTCTTGGCGCTTGTTATGATTTAGACGTTCTTGGCAAGGGATTTTAATATAAGTTAAAATATTGAAATGGATAGGCTCCAACTAATGCAGTGAAATAATTTATGCAATCAGTTCCATTTGGCATTTTGCCTTCCTTAATTAATTAAATAAATAAATAAATAAATTTCTTGGCAAAACTGTTCTCTCATAGATAAATTAAATCAATTCCATGCGATTTATCATTTATATGAGCTGTTATAAATGTCACAAAATTAACTTCCAGGCTGATTGACATTTTGGCTTGGAATTAAATGCTCTGCGACGAAATATTTAATGACGTAATCTTTATACTGATCACTATGAACTGTGAATCACTATGGCTCCATCCAGCTTAATTATCGTCTACATCCGTTTTATTCTTAGTTAATATCCGTTATCGTTAATTAATTTGTTATTTTATCTCGTCGCCAATCCGCGACAGGTTCAATAGATTGAAATTTCCGAACCAGAAGATTTTATACCAAAATTCCGAAAGGGTAAAGTAATTTCTAGTTATAAATTCTGGTTTTAAATCTGCAAAGAATGAAACCATTCCAACAGTCCGGATGATTTTTCCTTCTCAGAACGCAGCAATGAGGCAATCGACTTTGTGATGAAGATATTTGTTATAGACATTGCCATGTGTATAATAAACTAAAAAAATAATTTCCTGTCTTCAGCTGGAAACGCATGACGCTCAACAGTCAACAGTCAACATAACAAATTCAAAACACCGGATAGCTCTACAAAAAGCTGGCGGGAAAGCTGCCTCGAAGCACAATGAATGAGATGACTGCAAGAATTAACTATAGTGTTTGAACAAACATGCTTTGCATAAAATTCTGATCGTATCCGGCCATTTGCTGGAGTGAATAGAGCCGAAAATCGTTGCCATTTGGTAAAATGAATTAAGAAATTAGCGCCTAGAATTAGAGTCTTTTTGTTTTACGTATAAAGATCTCTGTGTTGCCACGAGTAATTTATATGATCAATCATTTTTATTATTTTAGTTTTAGTTATGGCATCATTTCGTTTTCCTTTTGTCTCAAGTGCGCAAACAAGGCGCCCACATGACGATCTGAGATAATGAAATAATAAAACTAATTTAGTAATTAGATTCGTTAAACGATAACGATTAAGCGTTATTAAATTGCAGTTTGTATTTGCAAATTTTGGACCAAGACTCGGAAATCGTGGGTTACGAGTCAAATAAGCTAGCTTATATGATAACACGCAATAAAAAGCTAATTAATTTAGAAATTTAGGCTGGTGTTCCAAAGGTCGTAGGTTCGACTCCCACCCTGGCCGGGCATATTTTTCAAGCTAGCCCGGTGTGGATATACACTCAAAGTAACATCACAAATATCATATTTTTCACCTGCATGAGTACACATGCAACACCAACACAGAAAAAATCATATTACTAGATTACATTGGTATCGTAGGTTCGATTCCTACCGTGGCCGGGCATATTTTTCAAGCTCGCCTGGTGTGGATATATACTCAGAGTAACATCACAAACATCATAATTTAGAAACAGTTTTCGTATTCGACTGAAAAGGAGCATATAGCTTTTTCATCGGTTTTATATGCAGTGCGTGAATTGCTGTACGAATTCAAGTCTACAGCGCAACATGGCACAGTGCAGTACTGTCCAGTGCAAATACAGTACCACTGAAGAATTTGAATCACGTTGATAATCACGTACGGATTGAAATTCAACTTCGAAACTTTGCATACTTCCATAGTATGGAAATTTTGAAAATTTTCCAGAAAAGCGTGGACATTTTCAAGAAAACCAAAGTATGTGTAAATGGTTCATATATTTTAGTGACCATATGTCTCCGAGTGCAATGCAGTATAGGAAAATACAGCACAACACAGTACAGCACTGCAGCATGCACAGCACATTACAGCACAGTACAGCACGATAAAATTACCTCGTACTCCGAGTTCTTTTCACTATTCTCCTCGCTCCTGGGTACAAGGTTGAATAAAATTCAGTACTTATAGTAGAGTTCAAAAACATCTTACAATGGAAAAAAACAGTAATAGTTTCATCTTCAATCTTGTAACTTCTTTTATAATACGTCAGAAATACTAGTTATATGGTTCGATGCTGAATTAATATAAACGAGTATGTTTATGACATTCAGTATATACTATATAGTTCAGAATTTCCAGTCTTAAATCCATCTGACCGTGTAGCTCAGTTGGTAGAACGTCGATCTAGTAATTTGAAGGTCGCGGACTCGCGGGTACGTTCAAGACCCAGCCGCGGCAGACAATATCTTTATGCTTACGCTGGGTATGGAAATTATGAAATACACACTCGAGAACATTTTCTACTTATCATATTACGGAGTGAACAATAACACAACACAACATTATATATATATATATATATATATATATATATATATATATATATATATATATATATATATATATATATATATATATATATATATATATACAAACAGGTTATAGCACTGCCACGACTCCAAGTGAAATTATTTGATAAAAAAATATATATATAGCTTTAAATTTTCGGCAGCATGCCACCGAAAATTTAAAGCTACTCATATATATTTTTTTATTAAATAATTTCACTTGGAGTCGTGGCAGTGCTATAACCTGTTTGTATATTATCTATGATTTGTCTGCCGAGCAGAGTGTGTACACTTGTTGCATATATATATATATATATATATATATATATATATATATATATATATATATATATATATATATATATATATATATATATATATATATATATATATATATATATATATATATATATATATATATATATATATATATATATATAAAATATATATATATATATATATATATATATATATATATATATATATATATGTTATATATATATATATATATATATATATATATATATATATATATATATATATATATATTTATATCTTAAAATTACTTATTGCTACTCAAGTTTCACGCCTTATTCAAGACGATCTTCAGGCAATTAATTCAGTTAGTGTTTGATTCGTCAATATCAACGGTCGCTCGCTGACGCGGAGGTTTGTCTATCGTCACCGGTTTGAATTTGCACGCGCTAAATTTTTCCTTGTGACAGCACTTTGCGTAAAATTCTGATCGCGTGTTCAGTGAATTGTTAGAGCATTTAAAACCATATATAAAACTCTTTTACCGTTTTTCAATATCTTAAAATTAATTATTGCTACTCAAGTTTCTGCGTACACGCCTGGTGGAAAGCGATGTGGC